AAAATATTCTACATAAACTTATAGAGCAGCCCTTGTACATTTGCAAATTTTTCAATCTGCCTTTACTTCGAGGTTTTTATATTCCTTTCATTTGCTTATATAGGATGTAGGATGCTTTTCATCGCCTCTAAAGTATGAACGCAAGGTGAGAGTGGAACAGCAGCGGTTGCATGCTACGTAACGCACTACGGTTTCGTGCTACGCCGGGACGCATCGTCACTGTTACAGGCAGCAACAGGAATGGAAAAAATGAAACAAAAATGTCCTGAGTGACGTCTGCGGATAGCTGCTTATAAATTATGCAGCAACTTAAGAAATTCTTATCATTTGTTGTTTTTAAATTACATTTTATTTTCGCCAAGGATCTTCAGTCAAGCGCCATTTGTTGTTATTCATTTTTCCTGCTCTTTCATTTCGCTTTATTTGTTGGTTGCGTTTGTCACCTTCCCATCCTGGCGGCTTGCGTGTGGGGCTATGTTCATGTTTATTGGATTTTATGTCAAGTGTTTGTAAAGTAAAGTTGAAGTATTGCAAAGGCTTTGGATACGCATTTTTATTTGCCAACGGCAGACTGGCGGACTGGCAGGCAGCCAGTGGCAAACAGAAGCAACAAGCGTAACAATTTAGGAGAGGATAACTGAACAAAAAAATAAAAAAAAATTTTTTTTATTAAAAACCGAGTTAAAAATAAAAATTGTCCGCCTTTTACGTGCACAACTGTTTTATCCTTTATCCTTTCGGAAAAAAAAACCATTTTTATATTATGACTTTTTGGTCTTATACCTTGTAACGTTTAATTCTTCGTGGGTTAGTGTTTTTTGGAGGCTTTTTTCACCTTTCGGAATCTCGAATTAAACATTTATACGAAGAATTTAAATATCAATGGAAAAAGGGTTAAAGCGTTTTATCTTAAGTTCATTGTGCCGTAGAAGATAATTCAATAAAAATGAAAAGTAAATGCCAAAAAACAAAAAAAAATGGAGCACAAATATCAACTACAGAACTCCAACGAGTCCAACCAGCTTGACGCTACGAAAAGTAACG